CTAGAGGGAATCGAGTGTTCCTCAAGAAGATTTGGGACGATTCCAAAGAGGAGCATTTTCTGAGGATGTGTAAACACCAAAACGTCATCGACCTGATCGAATCCTTCGGGATGGATGGGGCTACCTGGCTCGCCTTTCCATTTTACATGGCTCTGTCCGTAGGATTAGTTCACCATCGACCTACCATTCGAGATCACGCCATGGAGATCACCTATGGCATCGCGCAAGGATTGTATTTTTTGCACTCTATCAACGTGGCGGACCTAGATGTAAAACCCCACAACATTGTCATCGATGCAAATTTCAACGCTAGGCTGATTGATTTCGACTGTGCGGTCCACGTTGATGGTGAGGGAAGGACCATGACCGGTTTTGTGGCACCAAACCTTGCGCAGCTCCGGAGGTGGGAAGAAAAAATGAGGAGTATGATCCATTCCTTGCTGACCGCTACTCTTGCGGCGTTGTCTTCAATGGTCTCTGGCTCTGCGTTCGTCCGAGCGCTCCCGAGCTGCGTGCTTTCTCTGTGGCTCTTACAAGTGAGAACCCTACGGATAGACCTCCTCTTCAAGCTTGGATCCGTAGTAACATACACCCTCGCTCACAAAGTTGATTTCGGTTCTCCAGCAATCACAGTTGAAGAGTTTCCAGAGTTTCCAGAGTTTCTATCGGTTACCCAGAATTGTGTCTTCCTATCCGTAAGCATAGCTTCGAGCCTGATCTGGGTAGACCATGACGGACACATTTAGCGGATTTGGATGCTGCTCCTCTTCTCGGCGGAGCGTTTAGTGATGACTTGCACGCAAATGATGTATGTTACCAATTTGCTGGCGTCGCGTTTTGGCGAAACGGATTTGTATAATACCGTTTTCCTTCTGCTCTCCATTGAGGCACATAGTTTCCAGGTGACCCGCGGAATGCCCGCGGTGCTAGGATGTTAAATAAACTACTTACACAGCGGCAGGTGAATGAAAGGCAACGTTTAACGACCGATACACCGGTACCCTCTTGACAAAGTTGAGTACATCTATAAGAAACAGCATTTACTAGCGAATGGATCAATAGTCTCAAGCAAGTCTCAAGTAATACTCACCTTCCTTTTCTTGGGGCAACTTTTTTCTTCTGTTAGTAAGGGCATGGTCTGTGCTGCGCTTATGAGGATTATATGCGTCCCATTCCTTTGCCAGGCTCATTTGCTCTGGAAAGCGAATGAGGTGCTATCACAATCTGGAATTTGTGTCTTTTTTCCGGGGTGCCACTATTACCACTCCGAGTAGCCCCTTCATCTTACGGTTTGGATATTTCCCGAGAGTAGAGAACCAGGATAAAGCGGGAATTGGTGAATCGTTGTTCCAGATGGTACCCCGCTACTATACAATATATTATGGTACCATTAACATTTATAACTTGATTTTCGCACTGGAAGGTTGCATTTTTATATGAACACCGGATGCAACCAAGCGATGGTGCGTGTCATTCCAGATCTACGGAACATGAGAACAGGAGGAGAGGAGATTCACAACGACTCACTTCCGTCCGGGCGGTAGTAGCTCTTCCACCTGCGCTGACGCTCATGTTTACTATTCGGAGCGTTTCGCCACTATAATGAACAGCAGTCAGACATAAGGCCTTGGATAAGATGACAATATACTGACAGAGCGGCAGGGGAATGAAAGACAACGTTCAAAGCCTGTGACACGCTCAGTATCCTGTCGCCGTGAGTTGCACCCAACGCCAATAACGCGAGAGAAGAGCAACTATTCACGAATTAGAAGTGCATCTAGTCTTCAAAGATGCGTCACATACAAGTCCACAATATATGCAATACAGCCTCCATGAACAGTATTAGCCAGATTGAGCATATCTAAAGAAACTCGTTGAACACATGAACGATTCAGACAGTGACTTGGTAGATGCGCACCTTCATTTACAACAAGCTTTAAAACGACCTTTCCTTGTTGCCGCACAGATTCTTCCTCCATTGAACCAATTGAGACACTCGTCAGTACCATGCTTTCCATTATTGTAGAAGCAAATAGCTTTTGCTCTGGATTGCGAGTGGGAGTATGAACAACATTATCTAAGAGCTCTTTAACGTCGGCTGAGGCACTTCCGCCTATTGGAGTATGAGAGTAAGGACTAGAGTATGTTGAGTTGGAGTTGGAGTTGGAGGTGAAGGAAGACATGCCGTACTGTAGAGGACCCGCCAATTATTGTCGGTCGGCTTCGTCATGTTACCGAAAGCGGTCATGAAAAACATGGGAAAGGGACGGGAGATAGGAATGAATTGATAAGTTAAAGATGGCTTGAAGATCTTAGCCCGGATTCTTCGGCCGGAATTAAAACTCAGCAAACCGTCTAACCATAGTTGTCCATTGTAATCTGTACGCTAATGACTGTTCCAAGCTATTTCCTTCAAAGGTATGTAGATAATCTAGGGCCTCTTCCGCGCTGGTCCTCTCGGTTTGGCAAATCTCGCATTATCTCCCAACGGAGCCTTCGCAGCAGCGCTCACACCTTCACTGGCCGCCGACGTAGCGTTGAAGCCCAACTCACTCTTCAAATAGGCCTCATCCAACTCCGCAGGATCGGACGTTTCAATCTTGCGTGCATTCAAGTGTGAGGAAGATGAAGCAAGGAGCGTCTTGGCCGCCTGGAATACGCCAGAAGATCCAGAAGAGTAGACCATCCGATGTTTCACAGGCGAAGATGAAGGGCATGAGTAGATGAAGACTATGAATATGTTCAGATGGTGAATAGAACAAGTTTTGAACCACGTACGTATTTCGCGTCTAGGTGGATCAGTATAATTGTGCGGCCATGCAAAAAATGCATAGCAAGGCTCTGAAGCCGGAAGACTTGATTTGAATGAATCTATCGTCGCTGATGAGGCGGAAGAGAGTACAAGGGTCTCTGAACCGGTGTCAATGGACTGGAACTTGGATGAGATTTTGTTTCGGAAACAAGATCATCAAAACTTACAACGGTGACAATACTTCCTTCCTCTCCTCTTCCTAATTCTTCAACTGCATTTTCAACCTCGGCAGTCCAATTGAGCCCTACGCCAGTACCAACGATGGATGTTCTAGCTCTGCTTCCTTCATACGCTGGTGCGTTAACACGTTCTGCTGCACGAATGTCCGCGATTTCCTGCTCTCGCGCTGAGAGAGGCTTTGGTGCAGCCATATGCTTCAAATGGGCATTATAAGCTTCGGGTGTCAGATCTGCTTTGGATGTAGCGAACAGAGAGTCGGCAAAACTGGTGGATCCGAGGGATTTAAGGAGAGAGGCTCGACTAGATGCATAGAGCATCTATAAACGAATATGATTGTGGCTAGTTTTGGTGGATCTTTACATTACAGACGAACCTTATCCCTAACTTTTGCTGAATCTGGCACGTAATAGATTACTAGCCATTCCGTTGAGGGGTCGTCAAGTTTTGTGAGTATATACGCTGGCACATCGTCCAACAGGATATCTTGTAGTTTGGCAAGATCGTCTATCAATGAGCCTTCAATCGGGATACTCTGGTCATGTACGAGTGATTCTGCAAAGGATATGATTAGTAGATCCGCTAGAAATCCATAGTAAGTATTATCCACCATTTTGTATTGAAACCTTTAAGAATCTAACGGAATTGGGACTCGACAGCAGATGAGAATTGGGACGACAAGTCTTGCGAGACGCCGATACCAGACGTGGCTGACATCGTGGTTGACGTCGGACAATAGAATGTCAGGCGCCCAAATTACAGGCGCTTGTTTTGCGAGTCGCTGGACTTCGAGAGTTGCTTTCGGTCCTAACTTTACTCTTTTCGACTTATGTTATTCGGTAACATTACAGGTAGATTTCGCAGCTTACTTGAATTACACAGTGTGAATATTGAGAGCGCAAGAACAACACTCTGGATTGAATTTTACATGTACTTACTACACTATGGTAAACCTGGTCAACAGTGTTAACGGTGAAATCATACGCATTTTCGGGCGCTCCACTGAGGTAGGGCGTATGCCCAGTAACTTGCAGACCACCGACATTTGTCTCGGTGGTATAGGACTTCACCCAGGGAGCGTCATCATAGTATTTTTCCAGACCTGGCCAACCGTTAGTAGCAGGACTGCTAGATTCATTTCGTTGTCCCTGAAACGAGGAACGCGGTACTTCAGAGCAAGGCCTAGAAGCAGTTATACGTTTAGGTGTGGATTTTAATCAGTGAGAGATAGTACATACGTTGTGCATGATCATCACGTTGCATGAGTATTCCGATCCCGAGACCCTCGAACCATTGGTTTATGTTGGTGAAAGAGATGGAGAAATAAGTCACTACGCTTTCCAAATTCTCTACGGGGTCAAACCCAGGGGGAAATATCAGGCCACCTACTCACCCACGTCAGGCATCTCAGACTCAGAAAGGCATACTAGTAGCAAAACGCGGAGCATACCTGCAGGAACATACTTTGCGATTTGCACTTCCTTCCATTCGCCATTCGGGATTTCTGCGTTGCCACAGCCGTGATACCAATCGACATTCTTCCAGTCGTGGTCGGGCATCAAAATTGAAGACGTTGACCGTCAGAAAATACTGCCTCTTGATCCAATCGAACAGCGCTACAGCTGCTAAGAAGATTGCAACCCCAATTATGGCGCCTATTATCAGTCTAAACGAGATCGTCCTTGGATAAATCGTCTCTGGAAAGAAGAACGAAGGTTAGACGCACCCTCCAGCAGTCGCAACGCTTGCCGGGACCAATGCAGCCAACGACGGGAGCCCAGCAGTAGCGGCAGCCCACGGCAACTGCGTTGCGGCATATGCGATACCCCACGTAATACCTTGGATAATTAGAGGCTGCAGAAGTACAACAAAGATGATGCATATAACTTGACTACCAAAACAGATTTGCTTAAATCCATCACCAACTCAAATTATTGCCTAATCTTTTGAAAGTTTTTCGCCTGGGGGTTTGCTTCTGTATGTTGAAATTGATAACACTCACAGAACTAAGGTCCTTGTGGTGTAGTGGTTAACACCGTTGGTCCAGATCCAAGAGAGCCTGGGTTCAAATCCCAGCAGGGTCATTACTAGGTGGTTTAGTGCCTCAGGGAGTCACTGTATGCCATGCGATGTGTTTGGGGCCATATGTGTTTTGGTCTGTCTACACAGCATAGACAGACCAAACCACATATGTCCTAAGATACACGCAGAACAGTTTCGTCCAGCATCACGTGACTTTGCGCAATGTATATCGCTAATGGAACAATAACAAGGGCATTTTTTCAACAAGGAGCCTTGGGCATGGCTAGCGGAAATAGGTCTCTAGCGATGCCCAAGGCCATTTTTTTGAGAAAAGACCTCGTTGTGGCTCCATAAGTTGAGAGGCTGCACGTGACGCCAGACGGAACTGTTCTGCGCATATATTACTTACTCATTCATTGCAGGTGGTGAAATTTCAATCTTGTAATATCATTGAATCGAAGCATAGAAATACTACCTGGCAAACAGTAAATTGATGAGAATCAGGGAGGTAGTAATTATTTACTAGTATAAATTACTACTACCTCTTGAGCACAGAAGAGTGGCGTAGTAAATAATTACTTCCTTCCTAAGTGACTAGCTGTCCAGATGAAGGGAGGTAGTAGCTATTTTACTACCCTCCCGAACATGACAGAGTGACAAGTTAGTGAATAATCACTAGCTTTTGCAATGAAGCTCACTGAAGAGAGCTAGTAATTAATTACTACTACATTGCCAGATCAAAAGCACAGGAAGTAGTAAATAATTACTACTTCCCTCAGACAAAGCTCAAAGCAGACAGCTACATCAGCAAACCTGATTTTGCTGAGAACCTATTCATTGGACATCTCTGAGCAAGGTACCTATTCCAGAGACCTCTGGAGATCTCTGAGAAAATTGACAGTTTTTTGACAGCTGTCAAGCTCCAGAGATCTCTGAGACCTCCAGCAAAATACAGGTTTGCTGATGTAGTAATTATTACTAGCTGCCAAAGGGAGGTAGTAGATAATTACTACCTCCCCAGACTGCAAGCACAGGAGCTCCCAATGAAGCTGAAGGGAGGTAGTAAATAGCTACTACTTACCTCTCCCAGCCAGATTGCATTTGAGAGGTAGTGAAATAATTACTACCTCCCGAGCATGACAGAGGGACGAGCTACTGAATAATTACTAGCTGTCCCGATGAAGCTCACTGAACAGAGCTAGTAATTATTTACTAGCCTTTCCCAATGAAGACTACTCATGTTTGTCACTAACTATATATTCATGATCTACTCAGACTTTGTGCAGTAGTAAATATTCACTGACTATATATCACAACTGGTAAGTAACCTCATAGCGGAACGGTTCCTGACGACCGGCGTATATGTTCATGTACCCCGCGTGTCTAGTTTGGTGTCATACGGTTTGTACGGTTGTAAGGTATCTGAGTTAGAGATGCGAACCGTCACGCGTGACATCTCGCGCGTTCTTCTGTATACAGAAGGATGAGGAAATTGTCCCAGCAGAAGGGAAGGGCAACAACCCACACGCATGTAGTCTATAAGACAGAGATATCGAATATTTCCGAGCCCTTCAAATCATCAAGCTCCTTCACAAAAAAAAACTCAATTCGTGACGAGTTTAGCTACCATCATATACAGCCGTGCTTTTCTTACAATATCCATTGTCCATTGGAGGAGACTAGTGAGCCGCCAGCACATCCCTCTCGAGTCAATTCCTGCATTCACTATCGATGCGCAGATCATGTAATTCATCTTGACATGCAGTAGTAGTATAATCATAATCAACAATTCCGTTTATTGCTTCTTCTCATTTTGTATCGTATTTTGTTCTTATCCTATTATACACATTTATGCCACCTTGATGACAACCTTCCCAACATGAGCTTGAGACTCCAAGTACTTGTATGCCTGCAGAGCTTCTTCGAAGGGGAAGACCTTGTCAATGACTGGTCGGGTCACTTCAGGGTGTAGAGCAAGCAGTCGATTCATGTCTTTGAATCTGCACGAACGAGGTGAGAAAACCCTATAAAGATCAAGTAACGAAACTCACTGAGCGACGGATCCGATCTGGATACCACGAATGTAGCAAGCTTTCCGGATAGTTGGAAACACGACGTCGGTGGGTGTGCCCTGCAATGAAAAACGGCGTTTAGAAGCCGCAAGGCGCATACTCGACATTAATACGCACCCCACCCACGAAACCGATGGTATGGATCCATCCACCGACACGGATAGCTTTCAAGCACTTTGCAAGGGTGTCCGGGCCACCAACCTAACAGCATGTTGGATTCCGGTCTTGTAAAACATGGAAGGTGTAAGCACGAACCTCAAGGACATGGTCTACGCCTCTTCCACCAGTAAGCTCGAGTACCTTCTCGTGCCATTCAGGGGTGTTCTTGTAATTGATAACATGCTGAGCACCGAGCTTGGTGACGATCTTCAGTTTCTCGTCGGAAGACGAGGTAGCGATGACGTTGGCGCCTGAAGCGAGAGCGAATTGAAGGCCATGTCTACAAGTTGCCATGCGTCAGTCAAAGAAGTGTAGTAGACGCATATCATACGCACATAGAAACGCCGCCTGTACCAAGGATAAGAACAGTATCACCTCCTTTGAGCGGGACAGGGCCCATGAGTGCGTTGTATGCAGTCAATGCAGCGCAGCTATTCAACGAGACAAGTTGGTACTTTAGTCTGCAAAGTGAAGAGAACAGACTACTCACGGCAAAGTAGAGGCTTCTTCATACGAGAGATGCTCAGGAATCCTAACAAGCGACTACGCAAGGTTAAGGCTCGGAATTGACGGCGATAGGCAGTAAGGAACACACATGAGGACGGAACGACTTGTACTGCGTTAAAACACCGTGAATCGCCCCTCCGTGCGCGGTCTGTTGAATCTCAGGAGAGTCTCTCCAGCGATGTGGTCTGCAGCGAAGTTGGCGCAGACACGATCACCCTTCGTCCATCCGCTTCCTGCGTCCTCTCCGACTGCGATGACCTCTCCCGCCATGTCCGAGCATGGCACCAGTTGGTCGGGAAATCTGGATTCGATGGTTTGATTAGTAGGTTCAAGTTGTGAAAGGAAGAAGGTAAGTTAGATTCGAGTACTTTGAAGGATATTTTCCTACGCCAACCATAAGATCGCGGTACTAGATGATACAATCAGATGAATATAAGAGCGTGGAATATGCTCGACAGTGCTTACCTGCAAAGAAACCGCATGAATCTTGACGAGAACTTCGTGAGACTTTGGAGGAGGAAGCTGGGACTCTCGGGAAGAGAGGTTTTCAAGGGCACCATGCTGCGAGAGTCATGAAATGACGCGCTCAAACAAAGACTCTGAACGACGTACTTTGGTCCAGAAATATTCTTTGGTAGTAGTTGGAGAGCCATGATTATTGTGATTATCAAGTGAGAGGAGCTTTATATATCGATTACTGAGAAAGCTGACTGAGCATGTTACAGCCAAGTGACGCAATCTCGCGATTGCCATAGTACAATAATTCTGTTTCGCCAGTCATGAGATTGCTTCTGGGCGAGACGACGAGAAAAGCACAAATTAGTAAACGGCCCGGCCAAACGCGTCGTTCTGGGAGGTGGGAAAATGGAGGTAAAACGATTCTTCGATGCTCTCCTCGTTCAGCGGTCCATTCATCAATTATCAATCGCCCTATGCTAGAGTCCCAATCTTCAAGACGGATCCTGGAACGTCCTGTAACTGTCACGGGCCGTTATCCCGTCACTAAAGTATCACCAAAGCACAGGTCCACACTCCTCTACTCCAGAATGATAATTTTAGGACCGGCGTTTCGCTTTCGGGGCCTTGCCGAGTAATAAATCTCCCTTCCTTTCCTATTTTTCAACTGTTCCCTTCAAACGCGTAATTCTTTCCGATTAGCTCGAGGAGGTGCTCCCGCTCGTACCGACGTGACAACCTTCAAATCCGAGCGTCTCCATCCAAGCACTACAGGCCAGGGTTGAGAAAAGATTCGCCAATTCCTTCCTAGAGCCTTTCATAATTTTACTTGACCTACGAGGGTATTGTGAAGTGTGACTCTCATTCCTTCCTCACCGACTTGGGAACATACTTCGCTACACTGAACGGAGACGCTGGTGGTGTAGAACACCACTCCCAGGTCTTGGCAGCTGAATTCTATAAGCTATGAATGCTTCAGCCTGATTCCAGCTGGTTTATCGGTTACTATTTACCAACATGTCCTGTGTTATTTTGAAGTAGGAACAACGACCATCGTTCAGAAGTAATTGCTAGGGCTCGACAGGCAGAATTCGCATGCAATGGCCCTAATCATACTGTCAAGCATCTCCACAGATCGTCTGATTTCTTATTGAGACTTCTCCTCAGATTATCATCACTATGACGTTATGTAAGCATTTCCTTCTCACCTTTCAAAAGTCAGTAGTACTAAGTCTTCGACAGTTTGACCTTACGTACTGTGCATTCACCGACTCAGTGTACGAGGTCGTTCTTGCCACCATATGTCCTATTGAATCCGATAAAACTTTAATGCACTGGCAGCCAGCCCACTTTGGCAAACTCTCTTAGTTATATGTATGTTGAATTGTTGAGATCAATTCCTCCATCATCAAAGAAGACTCGCCAGTTCATGTCTAGTCGACGGTGGCGTAAACTCCCCTGTGCGTTCACTATTGCTATGTAGTACTTGAATTTTAGCGGACTGACTTTTTCAGGTCCCATTTCAGACGGTACAATGGTAATTGGTATTAGAACCCAATATATAATTCACAGCGTTTGGGATAGCAATACGACAGCAGGACGAAAATATAATGCGGACTCGGAAGAAATGCAAACTACAAAGCAGAGCGAGAATTCAATATATAAATCACAGCGTTTGGGAAAGTAATACGGCAAGCCCAGCAGCCTCAGCTCGCTCAAGTCGCACTCGAATGCGCCCGAGCCATAGGACACCTTTTCTGATGACGATTCCGAGATTGCTGATACGGGAATGTCTCTCCACAGGTCGAGCAGATAAATCTTCTACTCTTTTTATGTATGGCTTCGACATGGGCTATCAGTATGAACTG